GTCACCCCTTGCATCCACTGGCGTTGTGATGTAAACACACAGCTAGTCAACGTGAGTCCCTTGTGTACGCAACACCTGTAGGAACAGTTCATAAGCTTACGGAGCGCATCTTTACAGCATTTAATACCATCAGAGGGGAGCGTGGCATCTTACGGAGAGTCGGACAAAACATGGTTCGTCGTTGCACATTATGTAACGAAGTTGGTGGTCGTCACACTGAACATTTACTCTAAAGTAGTGCAGCCACTGATTCGATGTACAGTTTGATTGTACTCTACTGTTTTGTCGATAAAACTTGTCATAAATACTGTATTCTGCTGTTTCATTCAGCATACCGACTTCATAGAACGTGCAAAGTGCAGTAGAAACTTTATACGTATCTCATTTCCGGCTGTAGGTTCCTTATATCAAAACGTTCAAAATTTCATCCTCTACAATCCCCAAATTTTTAAAACGTCATTCTGATACACCCTGTGTATGTATATACATATATTACAAACTTATTTCATTAGTAAAAGTGCATAGTTGCAAAATAATTCATTTTTATTGTTTGGGCTACAAACAGTTCAAATCCACTACTTTTGGAGCATAACCACGCTACTTTTTAACCTTCAGATCCAGCAACACTGCATGGGATAAATTAATATATTTTTTCATACATGATTCGTTATCCGAAAAATAAGTTATCCGAACCACCCCAGTCCCCAATTGATTCGGATAAACGACGCTCTACTGTAATACTAACATAATTTTTCCAAACTTTTATATCTGTGTTTACATTGTAAAATATGGTCAAACAAATTTTTTGTGATAGTTATTGTTTTTTTGTTTAATTTTTATAATTATGTTCAGATATGTTTTACAATTAATTTCATAAAAGCAAATACAAAGAATATTAAAGTAGTGCTTATATAATTAGGTATAATATTTTGATTTCCTTGTTAGAAACTGTGTTAACTGGAGTAGAATATACACTATATAAGCTTTACTTTGCAGATATAAATAAATAACTTCTGATTTTTATATACATGAAATAAAAAATGGTTTTAATAAGGTTTAAACATATACAATATTCTGCAGTTTTACTTTTTAAAATTATTTGCACTTTTTATTATTTTACTATAAATATATTATTTCAATGCTAAGATTCTGTTTTGTAATTTGGAGCAATTATTATTAAATAGTTATTAAATTTAAATAATTTCTTATAAATTTTTTCAGATTATAGTTTGGTAAGTTTGAAAACTATAAATACTGTCTGAAAATTGATCATATTACAACGCTAATAGATTCAGCCATCTCTCAGTCTATAAATACTGATCAAACCAGTTTAAATCATAATACTTATCATCCATGGTACTTAAAAATTTTTTAAATTCCATCTGTACAACCTTATATGATAAAAACAATCAACTTTAACATGAAAAGACTAATGTCACAATTATGACTAAACAAATATTCGCTGTATATTAATAACATATGGACCGTTTATTTTGAAAGTGGTGTAAGTCCATTTTTGGAAAAAATTGAGAAAACACATAATATACATACAATTTAGTGTGAACTTTTTATTTATAAACAATTCACACTTAACATTTTAAAATAACCATAAGCTTTGATCAATTGAAAATTTATCGATAAATGACATTGCATAACCATTGATTTTGAAAGTGGTATAAGTCCATTTTCTACAGTCTAAGCACTTGGGCTATCCATAAATTACATGTGCATTTTTCTTGAAATGTTTACTTTTCCCTCTTGTCCCAGTTTGTCCAAGTTTTTGTAACCCCTTTCCCTCTATGGATGTCCAACATAACTCTATCCCTGTTAAAACCTTCATCACTTTATGAATGATAGATACCATAAGTAGAAATGAAACATACAAGAAACTTTGAAATAAATATAATAAAATGCATATTGTATAAAATTTAATGAAATAAATGGATGTCCACTAATACTCAACCCTCCTTGTCCAACTTGTCTTAACCCCTCCCTCCCTTTCAGTGTGGACATCATTTAAAGACAGCCCCTTACAACAGAAGAGTAAAACTGTAAATATTACCAACAAATGTACAATTTGATGGACTAGAAAAAAATCCATGTAATGAATCTAAATGAAAAGCAGTGTCTAATGGTAAGCTCATAATAATGATAAATTTATCATAAAATAGTTTAACAATAAGTAAATATTTTTAATGTTCAGAATAAACAATACTATTTTATTTCTTGTTATTATATATGAACAAAATCAGAATAAAACGCAATGTGTTTCAAGTGACATTGAGTTTTACATAATAGAAATTTAATGAATTTTACAGTTTAGTAATTATGAAAGTGGTGTAAGTCCATTTATGGCCCAGAAAGAATATATTAGTTTGGATAAATTCACATAGAAGTCTTTATGCAATCAACTTACATATTTCTAAAGTCATAGAAACATTGTCAAACTTAGTACACTTTGTTTATATTTTTGAATCAACTAAAATGCAAATGTTTAAATATCTCAAAAGAAGAAAAAATGGACTTACACCACTTTCAAAATAAACGGTCCATATATATTAATTTATCAAATAATTATTGCCCACGGTGTAAATCAGGAGAATCTTCAATCGACCATATACTTCAGGAATGTCAAAGTCTTTCAAATATACGCAACTCTCTTAATGTCTCGCAAATGTTAAATGATAATACTCACCAAGATTATAGAAATAATCTAAACAATTTGAATAAAAAAGATCTCTACAATTCATATAAATATTTCATCAAGGTGACAGAAATGTTGGAAAAGTAAATCAGAAGAGTTAACTTATGATATTGTAAAACTTGACTATTATTATTTGAATACAATGTTATGAATATCTAAATATTGTTATTGATTGTTAATTATGTTAATATTAAACTAATATGGAATATACTGTATAAATATCTTCTCAATGTCACAATATTATTTTAAAAAATGTTATTATTAATGATAATTAAATTTGTATAACCCCCGCAACAGGGTTAATCTCTTTTTGCTAATAAAGATACTTTTGATTGAAAATTGATCATATTTAAAAGTGAATAAAAGTTAGAAAAATAATAATATTTATTGGTTGTAATTTTTATTATATGATGTAATATGTTAGATAAAAATTTCATAAAAATATTTTATTAAAAATATAATTTTCTAAGTTTTGATTTTTTATGGTGGTTATAATATGTATTAAAAATGACTACTATTTCCATCTTTCAGAATCTTCATTAGTGCTTTCATCAATCACTCATAATCACAATATTATTTTCAAAATTTTTTATAAACTAACTTGGGTATAATCTTAACTACTTACTACTAAATATCAACTAATAATTAGCTGTTGCAGTAGAGCATCGATTATCCAACTCAATTGGGGACTCAGGTTAGTCGGATAACTGAAAAAATCAGATAACCAAAAAGAATGAAAAAAATACATTATTAGTATAGTATATTAGTATATCCCATGTAATTAATATATTAGTATATTGCTATTAACCAACTTCACATTGAATTTTCATCGATGTTAATTTAAGCCTAACAGTTTTTTTTTTAAATAATAATCATCGCTATTGTATTGTTAAAAATTATTTTAAAATTATTTTATTGCTCACAAAACAAACAACCAGTCATAATTAGAAAATTAAGTCTTGTTTTAATACTGGCCTCCCTTTAATGGTCGAGCCGTTGATGCCAGCTAAAACACAAAAATTTAACGAAAATAACATTAAATAGCCAAGACATAGCTAAATATTGTAGTGCCACATCACTAGTGAACATTTGAAACTTGCTGACTAGAACGGTCGGTTAACCGATGTTATGGTTAATCGGGGGTCGGATAATCGATACTCTACTGTGTTTAGTAATAAATTATCAATTAATATTTAATAAAATTCAATTATTTCAAAGTTTTTGCTTTGTTTGTTTGTTTATAGGTGTCTTTTGTGTTCAGTTTGATGATACCAGAATTGTTAGTGGTTCTTCAGATAAAACAATAAAGGTAATATTTGTTAATTATTAATTAACACAAAATAAATAAGTTTTATAGTGATTGTTTTAATTTATAGTTTTTTTTTAATTTTATCAAATTAATATGATAATTAATATTTATTCACTAGTATATGAAGATTAAATATAAAAGTCTGCAATTCTTTTAATATATCCTTATGATAAAATTAGTTCTGCATTAATTTTTATTTTATCATAATTTCATTATGCTGCATCAACTGTACATACAGTGTGTTTTTTGTGTGTGGATATAAGCTATTAAACTTATACTTAGACTATTTAAGAAACTGTTAAGATATTAGATTTTTCTGATTTAATGTTTGTGCCAGTTATTTCTTTGATTATTTGAAGAGAGAATAAATAGACTAAACCAAAATACTGCTAATTAAGTAATAACAACTACAGAAAGAATTTAAACATAGAAAACTACTAAAAGTATTTCAGTTAGAAATCATAATCATAAATAATGTAGAATTTGGCAGTTATTAAAACACTATGGCAAATGGAATTTTTAAAAAAAGAAAACAAATCATAAGCAAATACAAAATCTATACACTTGTGTATACATTTTATGAGTTATCATTATTTATCTATTTCTTTTATTAATATGTCATCTGTAACTGCTGTGCCAAGTTTCAATATTTATATACTGTATTTACTTGTATATAGGACAAGGTATGACTTTAAAGATCAAAATAAAGAAAATTAGATTTATTAATACAGTTCTAATTTTATTTTGTTTAATTACAAGTAAAATATCAAATGAATGTAAATGCACATATTGTATCACAAAAATTACTGGCATTTTAAACTTTAAGGAAAAATCTTGTAAAATCAACAACATAATTTGTTCATGTAAAGCTGGACAATCAGGAACCTTTTTTTGCCAATTCTCAACAGTCAAATCCACTCTCTGTCGATTACACTTATGAGTTTCTCCAAATTCTGATTTCCGAATAATCATCTGTTTTCATGTGAAAATGGATTAAAACTTATATTGTGCTTCCATGTGATTTTGGAATTTCAGTCTTGAATTCAATTCAAAAGCTTTGCTTTTCCTATTGTTATTCATCTTTATTCCTGACAATATACAAGAACAATTCAAATGATCCAGATAAAATACTTATGTTTTTAAATACAAGAGGGTGAGCATCTGGTAAAAAATGTGAATGCATGGTTCACAAAAGTTATTTGCAAAAATGCAAAGAATCTTTTGCTCATGCATACAGGATGATCTAGGAATTTGAAGCTGTGATAAATGAATAAAAACATTGTCTTATATGTGAGTACATATGGTATGTATTTTATTATTTCTATAAGAGAAAAAAAATATACATTTCTTTTACTATTTAAAGTTATATTAAATAATTTCAATTGAACAGCCTATTCGAATATTTAGTATACTATCATTAGATTGAACAATATGGCAAAATATGTCTCATAAAGTTTATTATTTCAATTTAGATAAATAATAATTTGTATGAATATATCCTGTTATTTTTATAACATAAATATATTTAATATCTAAAGATAATTTTAATTTGAAAATAATCTTGTATAAAATCCATTCTATCATGTTTATTAAAATCATTAACTTATATGTTTTAGGTCTGGAATATTCGTACTAATAGTCCATGGTCTGTAATGACTTTAGTTGGCCATTCTGGAACAGTTCGCTGTTTACATCTTGAAGGAAATAGACTTGTATCTGGATCGAGCGATTGTACAATTAAGGTAAAAGTATATTCAGTATATTTAATCTCTCTTTAAAAATAGTATAATGTGAGAAGCAATTATTTCAGCTACAAATATAATTATAAAAAAATTATATGAAATTTTATTATTTAATATCACTTAAATTTGTAGTTGAAAATAGACTTATATAAATAGTAATATATAATTGAATAAATAATTTAGATTATAGTATGTTAATAAGTTTATTTTTCAGTTATTTCACAAAAATTTTAAATGTATGTCATCTATAGTTTTTTTACAAAGAAAATATGAAAGTTTTTAATGATTTATGAAAGTAGTCATCAAATCCAAATGTTTTTGATTTAATTAATTTTTTAATATTATAACTGCCAAGTTAATCAAAGTATTTATTTTTTGGAAAGAACATTTTTGGACTAATTTAGTCCAGTATCAACCAGCTTTAACTAGAACTTAGATGCAGTTTAAAAAATGAAATACAAAATTAAACTGCTAACATTTAGAATAATATAATATGAATTTTTAGAAAATTCTACATTAGCAATTTGAATATGATACCAAGTTTCACTTAACTAATATATTTTGTCTTCATATTTATAATTAATTATTTTTGGATAAGTATGTTTAAACTTTATAACAAGTAATTCAGTATAAATAGTTTGAAGAATAATAACTTGAATATTACTTTTGTAAGGTTTGGGATCTCAGTACGCAACATACTTGGTCAAGTATTGCCTGCAAAGTGACTATGGTTGGACATACTGATACTGTACGATGCCTTCAGGTAATTGGAATTAATAGTTATCATTTACTCTGTGTAAATTTAAAAAATAAATAAATTTTAAGTTAATGAAACGTAACTATAAATGTAATAAGGCAGCAGTTTAATCTGCCAATTGACAGATTATTGGCAGTTGGAATATTCAGTTCAGTATTCTTCTGTAATTTTGCATATTATTTAATCATAAACATTTAAATATTTTTAACTATAATTATTTCTTTCTGTAACATATTACAGGACAGAGAGTGCTTCATTTATTGAAAAGGAAAGTAATTACCTAATAAAAAAAATACTTGCAATGTTGTTTGAGAACACTACACACAAGTTATTTAAAAAATTTTTTATCTTGTTCTTGGGCACAGCTCTTAGTCGATATTGATTAACCATAAAATCAATCAGTAGGGGTGAAATTGAAATAAATGGCTTGGTTTCAAATGACTGAAGGATGAGATTATATTTATATTTTAAAACTACAGATGTATACTTGTTAACTTTGGATGAATCATGACTAAATATTTTTTAAAATTTAAGTATTTTATTTTGTTTTTAAACTGTAGGCATTAAAGTTTAAATTTACTTTTATGTTTTGGGAAATTAAATTTATTTATTTATTTTTTGATGATTAGGTTGATGATGAGAAAGTTGTTAGTGGATCATATGATTGCACATTGAAACTTTGGGATATAAAAACTGGACAGTGTAAAGCAACACTTAGGTAAAATTATTTTAAAAAACAATAATTTAATAATGAATTATATAAGTCATTGAAACAAATTAATAAGTTACTAGTTTCTTGCTAATTGCATTATTTTCATATAAATAAATATAAGACAATATAGTGATGATTTCAATATTTGTAATTAGTTAATAATTTCTTTAATCTTCTAAAGAATTCTTGTCTTGCTATTGATAATATATATTATTACTTACAGAGGTCATGAAGGAGCAGTTCTTTGCTTGCAGTTTGATGATACTAAAATTATATCAGGATCAGGTGACAAAACTATTAAGGTATAAATCTATAAAATTTTTGAAATTGATATAGTTTAAGCATTTTAGAAAAAAACACTTAGTTTTCAATTTATTATATTTTAATGAAACACGGTAGTCTTGTTTAATTAGTACAGTCCTTGTGTTTCATTGTGTCATTCATCAACTGAAATGAATTTTTTATTTTAATGGGATATGATGACTTTTATAATATAATATAGATGTTTTACTTTTTGTGATTAGTGAAATTCACAGCTAATATTTTTATGGTTTAAGTCTTCTTTATATTTTTACATCATATTAAAATACTCTAAAAGTAATTACAGTGGATGATCGGTTAAAGAACAGATCGGTTAACGAACAAATTGGATAACAAACACTTTAGCGAAAGATTTTTATGATCGGACAATGAACACATGATTGGTTAATGAACACTTCACTGAACAAATATAAAAAGAAGCGACGGAAATAGCAAATACCGATTGATTTTCCTTTGTCTTCAGGTAACTTTTTGGAGCGCGGGAGACGTCAACGTCGACACTCAACCCGATATATACTGATCAGATAGTATTCCTCGAACTTTGAAATACTCCCTTGTAATTCCAGCCTTTTATTTTTCTGACAAACAATTCTTTTATAGTATTTGCGAGACTGTCTGGCGGGCACTCATTAAATTTTGCATAGGTTTTTATTTTCAAAAGGTGAGAGTATAATAGCAAAGGTAGATAGTGGGCAGAAGATGTCTGATGTTGCTGGGCAGTATGGCTTGAACAAATCTACAGTAGGGTGCAGTTCAATCTTATCTAAGAAAGATACAGTATAATTAAGAAAACTCAAGCAGCTAAAGGAGTAACATATATCACACCTGAGAAATAAAGAACATTGAAGCGCTCATAATGGAACCTGAAACAGATCTGACGACAGAAGGACGCCAACAACTCTTGAATGAAGAACACCAAGAAATTCAGCGAAATATGTTTTATTATGAAAAAGAGGATTAATGTCGATATCTGCTATTAATTAAAGATCTTTTGAAGAAGTGGGGGATGTCAGATCAACAGTCTTAGAATGGCATACAAACCAGGTTGAGGTTAATAGGCTTGGGGATCTCTACAATTAACATGCTATTAATTCTGAAAATCCTGAAGAAGAGAGAAAAGCAATTGACATTAGACAGATTATTTAATCCCCACAAACAAAAAAACATGACTAATAAAAATGCAAGTCTGTGTATATATGTAATTTTATTATTACATATAAATAAATGTAGTAAGAAAGTATATATTTTTTATTTTTTGGGGTCTCCAGAACGAATTAATCAAATTCCCATACAAACCTATGGTAAATTGATAATCGGTTAACGAACAATTCGGATAGCGAACAAAGTCTTGGAATAGATTATGTTCGTTAACTGATCACCCACTGTATTTTTCTTTTAGAACCTTCTAAATTAATCAACTCAAAGTAGAACTCGAACCCACAACTTCCACTTACTGTGTGGTCGTGTTGCAGATTACTTGCTTCCAGAATCTATTAATTTAGATATAACCATACTTGGTTACTTATCATTCTGGAAATGAGAATAAGATAAAGGTCCAGATAGCATAACTGGCAACGTGACTGCA